TTTTGCGTTTGATCTTAGGTAGGATTATGTTTTCGAGCCTTTGCATTACTGCTTCCATAACCAAACCAATCCATAGGAACTAAATCTCATACAAAAAGGGTCAAACTTAAGGTCAAGCAGACAATCAATAAGAACACAAAACCAACCAGTCATGATGTTCAAGGTCACCACCAGGATAGATGACTGATAAACTTGTAACGAAATCTAAAAGCTCACTTCATTAAAATTGACGTATATGTGGTGCAGATGTTGTTTAGTTGGGGGCAGTGAAAGCTTCACAAATAAACCATCCAGCAGTTCAGAGAACACGACTGCATCAAAATCATCCACCTGAGGTACAAATCTTCACCAGTGTATTTATTATTATTGTTCCCTTTGTTTCCTAGTGGAACATAGGGCTTCAACTGCACGTCTCCACTGACTTCTGTCTTCCTTCTGCTGTACTTTTCACCTGCATCCATGTTAGTCCGTACTGTTTCGACTCCTCTTCACACGATCTCCTCTAAGTCTCCCTTCCACTGACGTCCCACTCGCCGCTTCACTTCCGGGTTCCACTCGAGCAATGGCCTGACGTGCGATGTCAGCCAGCAGCCTCCTCAACTAGTGTCCAATCCATCTCCACTTTCTCCTACATATTTGTTGGTTGGCGATTGGTTCTTGTTTTGTTTCTTTGTGCCCATAGTTTCTTGTTGGTGATTCTTTCCGGCCCGGCCATCTGATATTCAGTATAGAGCCAGCGAAGACAGTTGTTGGTTGATAAAGGTCTGCAACAGGATGTTGCAAATATTCTTTGTGACCCCCCCCCCCCGCCAAGTTTCCGATCCATATAGCAGAATTGACTGACTTGACTTTTGTATTGAAAATCCGACCGAATTTTGTTGTTGATGCTGGCTGGGTGACGAAGATCTCCAGATTGGATTGGTTTTAGGTTGTGTGTGAATGTGTTTCTCGCCCCCACCCGATTCTCGCTCGATTTGACATCCTCGTCCGTTCCCCCTTTAGTTGAGACAATGCTCCCTAGATAAGTGAATGAAGTGACCTCTTTCAAATCCCTCCCGTTGATAGTGATTGGCGCTGAATGTTGTTTTTGTTGTTTGGTTATTTTCATAACTTCCTTCTATTCTTTGTTCACTTGGATTCCTGTCTTTGATGCTTCTTCGTCCAGTTTGTCGGTTTTCGCTTGAAAGTCTTCGATTTTGTGTGACGTCGAACATAAACATTATATGTGCTCTAAAATATTTAACTTTACAAATTAATATCAAATATTAAGCAATCATGTTCATTTGTCAATAAGATGATAAAATTATGCAATTATTAAAAATAATACCAACAACAATAATACTATCCAAAACAAAAATGAAGAAGACGAGTGACTTGTGATGACAATAATTATGAATAATAGATACTACAATATGGGAATATTTAATATTTTGAAGGAAAGCAACACGGCTAAATAAACAAAATCTTCACATAGATGTAGTGGTCGATAAAGGCTAGGAAAAGTAGATAAGTCTGATTGAGTAATGCTAGACTAGCATGGGGAAGTGAATAAATTATATCGACAGTTGCTCTAGGAATTTGATTTCCACAATACTATGCTTGTCACGCTTTCTTTATGGTGAAAATGGTTTTGGGGACGAACTAACTAATTAAATAACCTTCTTTCCACTATTATGGTTAAATTTTGTTTTGATAAAGTCTCACAGTGTTGTTATACAGTAATGTTTACTGATGACCACGTTTCGAGCACAATTTATTACTACTCATAATCATATCAAGGTACTCACACGACTTCTTAACTTCATTTATATAGTTCCATTGTTTTTCTCTTGACTTATTTTATTGGTTGTAGGATTTTCCATATTTCAGGTATGAGTGATGACTCATTCCTATTGCATGTGTTGGGTGTAGACTCGATGAACCAGGCAGGATTCAGTAATCAACCTCTCTCTCCACCTACCTAGATTACTTTTTAGAATTTTAACCCTCTCCCACCCTATTGTGTGGTTGTGTGTTGATGCATGCATTGCAAGTGCTGAGCTTTTTTCTAAATTACTTATCTTTTCAGGGTCAATCATTCTTAACGTAGCTTTATTGTCAGTACATAAGAATTTAGCTAAGGTAAGAATGGTTGACCCCGAGAAGATAAGTGATTTAGAAAGAAGCTCAGCAACTTCATCGCATCCATTAACACACAACCACACAATCGTGTGGGAGAGGGTTAAAATTCTAAAAAGGAATCTAGATAGGTGGAGAGAGAGGTTGATTACTGAATTCTTGTTCATCGAGTCTACACCAAACACATGAAATAGGAATGACTCGTCACTCACACTTGAAATATGGAAAATCCTACAACCAATAAAATCAATCAAGTAAAAAATAATGGAACTATATAAATGAAGTTAGGAAGTCGTGTGAGTACCTTGATATGATTATGATTAGTAATAAATTGTGCTCGAAACGTGGTCATCAGTAAACATTACTGTATAACAACACTATGAAACTTTATCAAAATAAAAATTTACCCATAATGGAATTATACTCTACCACTGTGGACAAGTTTTATTCTTATATTAACTTCTTCCCGATAGTAAATAAACAAATTCTCTTCATCCTCACACGAATAAGTTTTGCTGATATTATTTACCCCTCTTACATTTATGGTCCTCTCTTTTTTGCATAATTGTAAACACTATTTAAAGTCGGTAGTAATTTTCAAAAGAACGGTCAGCAAACAAAGAATATTCTTTCTGATAATCTGGTTTTCATCAGGTTCTACAGTTATATACACATAATTGCGATTAAATTTCTGTTATTAACAATATTAGTGTTGATTAAATAACATCGAATCAATAATAATAATAATATCAATGGACTACTGTTCAGTGTCATCAACATAATAAAATGGATGTTAGAAAAATTAAGAAATATAATAATACAAATTCATGAATTTATGGTCTCTACTGAAGGCCCGCGCGAGGCAGTATTAGTGGCTGAACTTGCTTCTTATGACCACAAAGCACTGGTTAACTAAGGCGAATCACAATAGCCCCCGATGTTTGGAGCATGTGGCACCTCGATGTTTTTGGCAATTTTTGGTGCCCAGTAGATGATAGAGAAGGATTCTTCAATGCTGACTTTGTTGTCGGTTTGGACCAGGTGGTCGAATATCGAACTGATGATGGTTTTTACTACACCTTTACTTGGGCATACTGGGGGATGTTCCTGAGCGAGCACGAAAAATCACCTCTCTAGAGCAATGGCCAATATATCTCGTTCCGCCACAAGCGCACTTGAATTGATAGATACGAATGGAAGTGGCTAGCTTATCTAGGTACCTCATCTTTCTCTCGAGGAATCACCATTGGTCGTGTAGAGAATACGACGTGTAGTTTGCCAGAATTAAAAGTTCTCTGAACTAATTTTCTTAACTTCTTCGTAATTATTTCTCGTTCAATCACGTGTCGGCATAGCACTCACCCAGATAGATACACGGTGTTCACTGGTTGACCATAACTATCAGTGGGAAACGGAACGAAGTTTCGACTGTCGCTCAACTTTCATGGTGTGTGACCTCAGTAAACGGTCTTTTTCAATTTAACATTTATAAGAACCTGTTCTGATTGCTCCACAGTAATTGAAAAACTTAAACTTTTGAAAAAGTATTAATTTATGATGATACTTAAGGATTGTAATTTTTATAACATTACTGATCGTGCCTGTAAAAATGCCATGCATTTTTTGTAAACTTACTCGTTTATACTAAACATAAATTATTATTATTATATTAATAATAATGATCTGTAGTACAACAGACACGCCTCCAGGGCAACTAATAAGACAGTAGAGAGAGAGAGATGGTGAATAGAGTTGAATTTAAGTCTGTGATTTCACTGACGACGACTGATCACTTATCAGGAATTCTCCACCATCTCTCTCTCTCTCTCTCAGTGTCTGTCTCTTTATCTCCACATTCTCATTTCCCATTTCTAAAGTTAATCAAATTATGGAATCTGACTTAAAATGTCTAAAACTTCACACACACTCGTAGATTAGCCTTATTCGTTACTTCCGCTTAAAGTTTCCCTCCCTTTTCCCCTCCATTTTATGAAAGCAAGCCTCATCAGTATTATTAACTCACGAACTATGAGTGGATAATATACCCCAGTACACACATACATACATACACACATGCATACATACACATAGATCGACATTTATTTGATGTGCCTAGGTATATCTATCTCTCCAGTGAGCGAGTGAGCGAGAGAGAGAGAGACGTATAATCAAATCGTCAAATGACCTTTACAAATCAATAGCCATTCTCATCTCTGATTGGTCAATCACAAAAATTCGTAACACTGATACCACGATCATCTTCTAATGCCTATAGATATGCCTATCTATATATATGCATGACACACAAACAAAAATAGAAATTAAATTCCCTAATCGATTAGTTATTTTGTGATTGAATAAGTGAGAAGAGACAACAACACCTACGGGGAGGGTAAAACAAACACAATTGAGTAAACATAAGCGTCCACAAACAAATAAACAACCGAACGAACGAAAGAACGAACGAACGAAGAATATCGAATTATTTGTTTATTAGTTTATTACAAATATATATTTTGTAAAACATAATTCCCATTTCTCATTAGAGTTTTTGTCAATATAAGAAGGATTATTTTGTATATTTAAGGAAAATAAAAAGTATGGATATGTGAGAGTTCAGATTTTGAGATCAACAGTTGAGCAGAACAAACAGCAATACACAACAGACACTTGTATGACAAGAGATGATTTAGTCGAAGGGAATCTATCAAACATGTGCTGATCTACTCCCTCTCTCTCTCTCTCTCTCTCTCTACTGATTAATGAATACTGCTCATGTTGTCTAGTGGATTATTTCATTGTTGTCACTCAAAATGAAGATCACAGTATTTTCATTATTATCCTTTATCTGTTGATGTTTATAAATGTGTCAAGAAGGTGGTTGCTGCAAATGTATAAATCACTGACAATATTTATATGTTGCTTATTCGATTATTATTATTAATATCATTATTATTATTATCACTAATAGACAATCAGATCATAATTTCAAATTGTTTATTAGATGTACAAAATTCACACTGTCAACAAATGGATTGGAATCACGGTAAGTGATTACAAAATTTTTCGTGACCGTTTTGCTGTTTCAATATGAGAATCGGAGATAATCGATAAAAATCTCTGGATATTGATTTTTTTTTGGGGTTATTGATCCTTATCTGAAAGGCGTCTCTTCAACCCGATCCAGTCATGCAGGTGTAGACGTCATCATTGAGCTACTTAGGGCAACATTTCCCCTCCTATAAGAATGTAATGGATATACTCGCATTGGTCTATCTGTCTGTCTGCTTGTCTTCTGAAAACATTCTGAGCAGAAATCTTCAAATGTTTAGCGTACAATTCATTCCTGTCAAGTAAATGTAGGATGATGCAGCAGGAATTGACTACATCAATGCCTAATTTAAAGATTCGAAGTGAGATGGTAGTGTGTGGTGAGCATTTCACCCAATTGGGAAGTTGTACTTAACCTAGTCGACTGATTGCACACGAAATCCTAGCACAGATGTAAAACGTTTAACATGACACTGATAAACTTATGTTATCTTTGGAGTAGACGTAATATCCAGCTATCGATGAAAAGACGGATGTATTGTGTATGCATTTCCCTCTAGCAATGCGGCTGAGAGTAATGGCCAAAGGAAGTGGAGGATATGTTTGCGTTCTCTTGCTCATGTTAAGTAGTATAACACAGTGAGTAATAATGAGGTAAGGCGTTGAGTGCGCTCCACAGAGAGGTTAAGCCAATTGATGATATCACAAAGCTACATTGGTTAATATGATAAATACGACACATAAGACACACGTCAAACCATTGCCTTCCATGAAGAGCAATGTTAGCTGACATAGAGTTAGTTATGTAAGAAATGCCAGTTAGGGGTGGGTAAAAACCGAAACTTCGTATCACTACGTGAAATATTTTATAGTTGATTTAAGCGAACCATGTGAAGAGGTGTAGACTAACTAGTTAGAGTTCTTGGGAGGCCAGGAAACAATGACTGGAGAGTGTTACTGATATGGCTCAAAATCATTTTCTATGACGCAGATGCATCCACTCCGTGTAATCTTCGAGATCTAGCATCGCCTCATTATTTTCCTTTTAGTACATTTCAACTCATTATAGTTCTTTTGCACTTTTGTCAATTTTTTCCATACTTTGGTATACTTTATGGAGTGTGACGATCTAAAGTGCTGCATTTTTCTGCTAATTTCTATTGAGAACCTCAATCAGTCAGTCAGTCCTATGCAAGTATTGGCAATAAGAATCCGGATACCTGTTTGCTTCAGAATTGCCATAACAGATTTTTAATACCTTTCAAGACTTTTGTTCTTATACCAATATTTGCAGTGTGTAACGACTTATTTTATAATGTCCAGAGAGCTTTTCTGGTTTATTACATAAATCATTTTTAAGTATTGGTTTTGTAGGGATTTTGTTTGATTGAATGCAGAATTTCATCATGAGCTGATTTTAGGTCCCAATAGGCTCAATAGTCTACGAGCTGGCTCGCCTTGTAACCAGAAAGTCCTGGGTTCGAACCCCCTTGGTTGGCGCGTGCTACTGAAGAGTCGCGAATTAGGACGAAACAACTGCCCAGTACACCCTGCAGGTTTCCCAGTGATTCTGTAACTGATGTCAGCTCATGATGAAATCCTCTATTATTTTGTATTCTTGATTTCACACTAGTCAGTAACCAGTTTAATAGGTCTGGTTCTATCTTTCGTGCAGACATGACTGATCGAATTCAGTCTGCACCAAAAGATAGGACTAGAACACATCACACTAGTTAATGAATAGCGTCCAATCACATGTATCCAATACAGTCCTTCAGGAGGTTATTCGCTAGCTCGAATAGCTCAATAATGGTAACGTCTTTGACCGCAGTACTGGGTGATTTGAATTCGATTCTCAGAAGAGACAGGAGTCCCCCTCTGAAGAGTGCCAATTAGTACGAAATCTAAGTCTAGACAAGGCTTCCATCCAATTGCCTCCAACCATCTAATATTATTTCTTAAAATGTTTTTCCTCTATATCTCAAGTAGGGCATAGGACTTTAAGCTATGAGCTCTGATGTTTCGGTGGTAGGGGTTTTTTATTTTTACGGAGCATGGAGTGGAGTTGCTAGCCTCATGGCCATCTAGCCTTCCCTCTTTACCTCAAGCCTACTATCGACTAAAGATCGAACCCCGAGCCATATGAATATCATATATTATTGTAAATATTTATTGACATGAAGTGTAAATAGTTAGTTATTCATTCTTTCAAGTTACTAGAATGTCAGTCACATGCCGGATTTCCTCATCATTGAAATATTTGCCTTTATTCTGGTAATCCTGGATAAGATAGACTCTCTTTGAAGTTATTCCAAGAGTTGCTTTGATACAGATCGTTTAGGTGACCGGATATCTGACCTAATGGTTGTATGACCTATTTTTCCTATTGACTGGTAAACTTGATTTGTGTTCACATATTACTCAGCGTACCAACCAAGTTTTTGACGATTTCCCACGTATTCTTCATTTTCTAAAGGTCTTGGATACAGAATATAATCTGACAGTTTTTATCATGTTCCTGCTTAATAATTGGAATGAAATGGGTATTTCTTTTCTTATGATGTGGATATATTGTTTGTAGGCTTGACATATTGACTATTTAGATATAAGATCCGTTTCCGCCTACTTTAATTTGGAAAGACAAGAGCGAAGTGATAAGCCTCCGCACATCAGTCTGTATGTCGATGTTTTAGTTGGAAATATCATACTTCCTGATGTGATTATTATTATTATTGTATCCTTTAGTTCCTAGAGGAACATAGGGCTTCAGCTGCGCACCTCCATTGACTTCGGTTTTCTGACAACTTTTTCACCCTGCTCCAGGTATGTCCACATGCTTTCATCTCCTCCTCGCATGACCTCCTCCAAGTCACCCTTGCACTGACGACCAACTCGCCGCCTCCCTTTCGGGTTCCACTCGAGGGCTTGTCTAGTGATGTCACTTGATGGTTTCCTCAGCGTATGGCCAATCCATCTCCATTTCTTTCTGCCTATTTGTTTCACAATCGGTTCCTGCTGAGTTGGTTCGCTCCCAGAGATCCCTGTTGCTGATCTTTTCTGACCGGCCATCTGATCTTGAGTATTGAGCGGAGACAGTTGTTAATGAAGGTTTGAAGTTTGTTTGAGATGCTCTTTATGACTCGCCAAGTCTCTGATCCGTATAGTAGCACTGACTTCACATTGGAGTTGAAAATCCGGATCTTATTTTTGATGCTGATTGCTGTTGACCTCCACACAGATTTGAGAGTAATGAAAGCTTATCTTGCTTTTCCGATTCTGGCTTTGATGTCCTCGTCAGTTCCGCCTGTAGTTGAGACGATGCTTCCCAGGTAGGTGAAGGAGGTTGTTTCTTTCAGGTTCTTCCCATTTATGCTTATTGTGGTCTGTTGGTGTTGTTGATGTTGGCTAGGAATCTTCATTATCTCTATTTTATCTATGTTCACGTGAAGTCCTATCTTTGATGCTTCTTCTGCCAACTTGTTACTTTTCATTTGCATATCTTCCAGTTTATGGGAAATCAGACATATATCATCGGCGAAATCCAGATCCTCCAAGTCTTTTGTATCAGTCCATTTTATGTCTGTTCCCTCGTTGGTTGCCGTTGTCTGTCGCATTATCCAATCAATTGCAATCAGGAAGATCATTGGTGATAGTAGACAGCCTTGCCTCACTCCCGTCCTCACTTCGAAGGCTTCCGTAAGTTTCCCGTTGTGGATTACTTGGCATGCAGCATTGTCGTACAACCAACTGTTGGATGAGATGTATAATTGTCGATGACACCCCGTAGTAGCGAAGTAGTTTCCAAATCACCTCTCGATCGACGCTGTCGAAGGCCTTTTCAAAGTCGATGAAGTTGAGATAGAGGGGCGACTGCCATTCCAAGCTTTGTTCAATGATGATGTGAAAGGCTTGTAAATCCACTTCTGTTTATCTTCAATGAAGTGGATTTATCATTCTATATCGACTTACAGCCTCTTAGTAGGGACGTTTTTATAGTCCACTGTGATTCCATTGTTGAAGTTATGTGGTGTTTGACAATGACACAGAAAGGCCTAAGTAACTATTAACTGCCAATAAAATGATAATATTTCAAATAATTGGCAATCAAACCTGTACCTTAACTTCATCAGCTTCGAAAAAGCCTTCAACAGATAGCACTGACCGATAAGTAATTTGGCGTGCAGTGCTCAAGTCTTTATCAACCTCATTCAACAGCTGGCTGGCTATTTGACAGTGCTACGTGTCAGGTGATTCACAACGGAAAACTCAGCGAGGCATGAATCAGCTTCGCACTCTCCGTAGTAGTAGTAGTAATTTTTACTGTGTGAGGTTGCTGATTGACTCTCTGATTTAAATGTAGAAATTAGTACAGATGTGCAGCAGTTCGATTCGTCACTCGCCCACACACAAAGTACCACACAAAGTAAGAGAAGACAGTAAAGAGACATTCAAAAAAGGCAGAGATATTAAACAGAATTATGAATGAGCGAAAAAAAATTGTAAAATGGATGAACAATAGAGTTTCATGAGATATCATCAATCACAATGACTGAGTGAATGCATCTGAGCCAGCCAGTGAGAACAATTTTGAGTCATATGACATATTGTCTCCCACCGTCACTTGTTCTTACCATCCAGAAGACCACAACCAGCCAGTCAGGAAGTCTACACCTCCTCACGTGACTGGCTGGCTGGCTGGCTGAAACTAAATGTTATGGATTCAACTGACTGATGATTCCATATTCTCGTTTGACCACCACTAGCTCTTTTCCAACCTGATTCATTCTATGCTAGCCGAAATTCACCATCAAGGAAAAGCGATGGCACTGCGTGTGCAACACATGTCCTAACCACCTCAATCAGTGTAAAGTCACAACCTCGTTGATTGAATCTCCTTTTTCATCTAGTAGCACTCGACCGATGTCTCACCAATATTGCTCACCATATTATACCGCCTAACACGGGAGGTAGAACGCAGCGACTTATAATCCACGA